CCTAGCAGCCCACGGCCAGACCCTGTCGTGTACACACTCATCCAGCCATCTTAGCCCTGTTTCCCTCCACAGTACTCTCTGGTGCACAGATCCAGACCCCATTACAGTGGTGCTTACGGAGAGTTTTGACCTCCAGTCGTGAGCCCTGCGTGTGCCCAACCTGCCCACTCCCACCCATGCGCTGTCCTTGCAAGCAGCCATCGTCCCAACAGTTGAGGGCAAGGCATGGGAGCCCCGCATGCTCCCAAATTCAATTTCAGGGCCCTTTCTCAGGGCATGTCTCAAAATGCCAGCAAAGCCAAGCCCACAAGAGTGCCGCAGGGCTGTGCTTGTGTCTCAGAGCTGCCCACGCTTGTGCCCCAGAGACACCATGAAATTCACAGCTGGATGGGTGAGTGCAGCAAAAGTCCAAATGCCATCTTGGCCTTTTTTTCCTAATGTGCATATAGGTTCTTGCTGACCCTCTGCAGAGAGCTTAGTTTTATCTGATACATCAGCCACAGCAGAAAGGACCCAGAGCAAGGTGGAGCATTTTGGCTATTTAATTCCATATGAAATGAGTAAAGATATCCCTGCCCCTGGGTGGCCCAGGCTCACCCCACCAACTTCCCTACCTCTCTGTCTCTGCAGCCCTTCCAGGTCCCCATGGCTCAGACACGATGGGACAGCATTCACCCCTTGTTTAGCCCTGCTTGGTTCTCAGGAGTATTCCTGTGGCAAGGAAACCTGGGGCTGCTGTGGTCCTGCTGGTGTCCCCACTGGTGGTCCTGCTGGTGACCTTGCTGTTGGCCCTGCTGGTGGCCCCAGTGCCGGTCCTGCTGGTGGCCCTGTTGGTGGAGGGACAAACTGCCAAGAGCAGCCCAGGGGAGCTGCCTGGCACCCTGCAAGAGCTCACTCCATTGATGTCTGCAAAGGGACAACCGGGAGGCATTTGGCCCTGTTGTTTCATGTCGAGAAATTAAACCCTGTGCTCCCCTAGTTCACACCCCCTCGAGGAGAAACTTAGGAGAAAAGGGGTCCTTGAAGAGAACAGAGAAGTCCCAGCAGTACCTGGGGGGCTTGCCCAGGAACACCAGCCTGTGGGAACACCTCTGAGCAGGAACATTTCTCCCCTGGTAAAGGGGATGAAGTATTGCAAGGAACTTGGCTTGACTTTTCCTGAAGAACATAGGAATCCTCCTCTCCCAGCAGCGCCTGCTCATCCCATGCCCCAAGCTTTGCTGCTGTCTGTTAATATTCAATAGAAGTTACATTAGGTGCATGACCAGCTAATACTGAGCAAACATTTGGAAAACATCATGGCGTGACTGAACTCAGGGGCCTGCTACTGATAACAAGCGGCATAACCTTGAGAGCTCCTATTTACAGCCGCTGACTGCAGGGCTTTTCTTCTGGCCCAGCCTCGTTATTGCTTTTTATCAGGTGGATTTATACATTGAGAACGTATCAATCCAGAGAGCCACCAGCCTAAGTCAGGAACTGTTCTGTTTCCCCTGCAATACCTCATCTGAGCAGACGGCTTTGACTGGTGTGGCCGTGGTGAGGTGTGGCCAGCCCACGGCCTCATGGCAGGTAGAGGCAAATGCTCCCCCTCAGCACCACTGCTTCTCCTCTGGCTGCTGCCACCTCTAGACTCAAAGCCCAGGTCCTCAAGACTAGACCCAAGCAGGGAAGCACATTGGGGTCAAACCTGCCCCAGGACTCTCTTTACAATAAGGTACAAGAGCGCTCTGTTGCTCTGGATGGGTAAGTAGGAGCTGCTCCGCACTTCCTTCCTTATTGTAGCTTAGATGGAAGTTTTCCAACTGCACCCAGCCGGTGCAAGAGCCTCTCAAACGGCTCACAGAAGCCATGTGGACAGACAAAGAAGCCATGAAGATACTCGACTCCTCCATTTCACACATAAGCTTTGGGCTGCATGTGTGAGCATGGCCACTATTTCAGACCCCATATCTTGAAATCAAAAAACTCAGAGCCAGATCCTTTGAGAGTACACTTTCCCATTGAACTCCACAGGCTTTGAACCAGGTGTTTGGGTTCTGAAATGCCCCCATCACAGGAAAGCCTAATAAAGTGAATGTGAAAACAGAACCACCAGATGCAGTCAGTTCCCACAGGCATCCCATCCCAAACCAGACACAGCTGCACCTCCACCCTGCCAGGCAGGGAAGATGGAAAACTGCAGCTAAGGAAAGGGAATGCCAAAGGGCTGTGTTAGTTTTCGGTGTGCATTGCCATGAATGACCTACAGCTCAGCCAAAATACTCTCTTGCAGCTGTACAAAACGAACGGGACCGAATCAGCACCCGGAGATCAAGTTATGAAGACAGCAGCTTGCCTTCCATCAATGTCTTACTGCAGGCAGAAGTCCTGGCACAACAGGTACCTCTTCTTTCTTCTTTGGCAAATACAAAAGCAACAGGCGCTATCTGGCCAGCAGAGCCAGTTGAGTATCTAAAAGCCGAGTCTTCAAATCACCACCTCTTTTCTAAGTAACTTACCCGTCAACTCAACACTGGTTTTTCAAAGGCATTTGTTACCTGAAACCATCCCTTTAATGCTCCTTGGTCCAGAACTCAGTTGTAATAATATGCAATAATCTGTTCTGCTTTGATGGGACATGTGAAGGCTGGACAGCCTGCTGGAAGAAAATAGGGTAGAATCATTGAAATCCAAGGAGCTGTAGCCGCCTAAGCCTCACACGAGCGGCCTCCCTTCCCCACCGGCCGTCAGGAACTTCAGATTCTGGCTTCCTGCACAGTTTCACGAGGAATCGGTTTCATGCTTGTTTTATGCAGATATTCTTTCCAGTGTTTGCTTGACACTCCCCATTTCCACAAGCATACTGCCAAGACTTATTTCCTAGAGCATTCACCTGAAAAGATGACTCCGATTTAAGAATCTGGGTATTGCAAATGGCGTACATCAGCTCGGCGCTGTCTGGGAGGGCACAGGACAGGGCAGGAGCACACAGGCTGTGGGAAGGGCTTGTCTGTGAGAACAAGTGATGAGGATGGGGCTGTGCTGGAGGCAAGAGCTGCCACTCCTTGTGGGAGCTGCGGAGAGCAGCACTCCTTGTCCTGGGGAAAATGAAGAGGGGTTTGAGTTGGCAGCTCATATTCTTCCTTGCTTCAAGGGTCACATTACCGTGAAGGCTGTCCTGGGAGATGCTCCAGGACGGGACGTGCCGTGCTCTGGGCTCCACGCTAGGGCTCAGGCTGTCAGGTCCGCTCCCCTGAGGAGGGGATGTGCCAGAAGGGCCAAGGGCCAATCCTGTGCACAAGAAGCATATCCAATCTCATCCCACATCTCACCTTGCCCTATGCAGGCCCTAATATATTTATATACCCTATAAAAATACTATTGGTGCTGCTCCCAGAGGTGTGAGATAACGGGGTCGCAAGTCACCTGATGGACCAGGGGAGGATATTTCTGGGACTCTGAGTCCTGCGGTGGCGTCACATGTAAGTCTTGAGCAGGGTCTGCTGATAAAAACTACAACCATCGACAAATCCAGGGGAGCTCCTGCTCTCCCACAGAGCACAGAGAGACTCATTAAACAAGGCAGGCTCCAGCATGGTAATTGGTAACTTTTATGTGTCTAGCTAATTAGAACAAGATACTGCTGAGGAGCTGCTTTCTCCAAGATCTTGGGTCACTCACTCAGAGGTCTTTATTTATTTGCTAAGCCTTCCGGGCTCTCTGATTAGGGTAATACACAGTGAGATTTTCACAATCTTATTTATTCAATAATAGCTGAAGAGCTGGAAAGCTTCCAGGTAATGCAACCTGAAAAAAAAAAATGCAGGTGGCATTTGGACTCCATTTCCTTGGGGAGGCTGGCAAGGTCCAAGCTGAAAATGCTGGCAGGAATAGGACAGGAAGAGCTGGTGTTGTACAAGAGCAGAGAGGGCAGGGGGAGGGCAGCAATAGGGTTGAGTTAATTGCTTACAGAAGCAGGAGAATAAAGTAGTGACTAAGGGCAAATTTTTAGATGAGCTGGGTGAGCAGCTATGCATGAGAACCGGGCAGGAGGTTGGGTGCCTGTTTTGGGGGAGATGTTCTTTCCAGCTTTGTGTGACGGTACTTGCAGAGATGTCAGGTTCATTCTTTGCAAATGAAATGGCCCCATTTGCCTCTGCAATCACAAATAATTCGCCATGCAAAAAATGCGACCTGTGTTGTGGGCATGTTTGCACAGTTTTGCCAAAAGGGCCTAAAAGCTGGGGGGAGGTGGGAGGTTGTTGTCTTTAAAGTACGTCTTTAGCATTTCAAATTGGGTAATGTCAAATATTAATGACCTGGTGCGCACAGAAAGCAATGTCGGACCTGGAAAGTTACCTTCACTACTGCTTGTGCTCGTGCTGACTCAGGAGAGCGGAGCCTGTGTGTCCCCTGTCAAAAGCAGACAAGGCAGGTCTGGCCAAGCGCTGGCTCTGGAGCAGGGTGGAAGGGGGAGCAGTTCTTTGCCCTTTGGTGGGACAAAGTAGCTTGTGCAGCAGCCCTGGGTGGATGTGTCCTTACTACTGGTGAGGCTGACTGCTACATGAGCCCCTCTGTTCCCTCCTGGATCTTGACTGAGCACACTTGTTCAGTGGGAGGAAGACCTTGGATTTAGAAACATTTCTTCTGTGCTTTCCAGTCTATTCAAGGCATGAGAGTTTACCAAGACGATCCACAACCTCAGCTCTGAAGCGTTTCATGTTCACAGATACCCGAGTTGATCTCAATTTAAATGAGTTGTGCTGGGCCACATATTCTGGGGGCTGGAGGTACCACGGGAAAAAGTAATCATTGATGTTGGAGTCTGCATCAACACAACCCATGGGCTGGGGATTTTCCTGTCTCTGTTTTCTGAGGCACTGAAAGCTGAAGGATCTCTTCTCTCCTTCCAGATATCATCCCCGGTTCCTGTGATCAATGGAGACATCCGAGGGAAGAAGATTGCCAATATCTCCGACGTGTGCGAGTCCATGAAGCAGCAGCTGCTCGTGCTGGTGGAGTGGGCCAAGTACATCCCTGCCTTCTGCGAACTGCCCCTGGACGACCAGGCAAGTCCCTCCACCCACCCCAGCTCCCCACCTTGCACTGGCGAGGGCAGCGGGGAGCCGATGGAGAGCCAGGCAGCTGAGACCTTCAAAGAAAATGTGCATTGTCCACTCTGTTATCCTGACTTCTGCAGCTGATTGGGAATGGCATCCATACAATGCCAGCACAGGCCATTTGCATGTGCAGCTAATCAGCCCATGAGCACAGTCACGATAACACTGAGCTTAAATTAGGTACATAATCAGGTGCGCACTTTGCATGGGTCTATCAGTCAATTGTTTATTAATTATAGCTTGTGCAGCACTTTGAAAACCTGAAGTGCTATACAAATACTTAGGGTAATCAGACTTAGTAGGACTGATTTCTAGCCTAAGATCTTAAGACTTACTTAGACTTAAGACTTAAAACCAAATCTGCCCGTCTATCTTTCTTCCTGCTTCTTGCCCAGGGATCTGTTGGTATCCATCCTCCTGGTGTGAAAGTATTGAAACTAAACATTAGTTTGCTCCCAAGGGAATAAGAAAATCTCTCTTCAGAGTTAAAAACCAGAAATATATTTGCATTTAATACAAATAAAATGACGATTTGCTGATTCCATAACCAAGATAAGCACAGTGGTTTGAAATCCTTTGAAAAACTATACTGCAGGATCTCAGGCAGCCTCAAAGAGATACAAAGAGATGTCTCCTGAGTAAGTCTGAATTTCAGAGGTCTGCAGCAGATGTTGCAGGCAGGACATGACCTGTGCCCAGCCTTTAACAGCACATGTGGATGGTGGGGAGGCTCCAGAGGGAAGGGATAGCACTTCTGGCAGGGTACAGCACTTCTGGCAATGGCCAGCACAGGTCCTGTCACAGATCGGAAGGTCTTTCCAATCTTCCCAGTGTTCAGTCACAAAACCAGCATGGGTCCTCTTCAGTTAGGATCCATCTCCAGCCCTGTTGATCTAATGGAAATTTTTACATTGTGAAGAAAAAGGATATCCAGAAAGTGAGAGCACCCAGATGATCAAAACCCCCTCAATCCTAAAACTGAGATCTTAAGTAATAATCCAGCAGCACAAAGCCCCGGGGAATCCAGTGCTGTTAACACCGAGTATATTTCCCTCTCTACTATTGTGTGCAAGTGCTAAATCCTTTAAAATGGTAAGATATCTGTTAAACTCCTAAGGCAATTACGACTCAAAAATAATGAAAAACAAAATGGACTCCAATAGCAAATGACATTTAGACAGCAAACAGGCTGCAGCCCAGCAGAGGCTTGGGCAGCTCTGCATAACTCATCACATCCTTGTGCCATTTGGAACAGAGGCAGTAAACCTGGTTAATAACTCTGCAAACTACAGCAATTTCCACATGAACTCATTATACAGTTGTGGGGCTGCAAAATTTCTCAAAGAAGAAAACAAAGCCGAAAGATGACATTGCCTGAACCCTGCCTTCCCACAGAGGAGAGGCTGCTCTCAGCAATGCTCCACAGGCTCATCTCAACTAAATAGGTCTTCTGTTATGACCAGCCATCCCCCATCCTGAGCAGTTCTCAATCTGTCCCAAAGGGCTTGAGAGGAAAGACTGTGCTGCATTAAAACTAATCAATTAATGCCATCCGTGCTTTCGAAGGACAGTGCTTTCAGTGAGAACAGAGGGAGCAGACACTCAGGGGAGTGCAGGAGGAAGGACAGAAATGCCAGCCAGTCAAGACATGTCCAGTGGGAACACTTAACATTGGGAAACGCTGTTACATGGCCATTAAAATATTGCCTGAGAATGAATCATCTCTGCCAACATTTTTATAGGAAAGGTCATACCCAACCCCTCATTCTTCCTCTGCACCAAAACGTCAAAGTACTGGGTTTGGGGGGGGCAAAGTTAAAAGTTCTACTTTGTTGTGTTACTTTATATTTATATTTATCCTAGTTCACAATGGGATGATGTATCTCAGGTTGATCATTGTAAGAGAAAGTATCAAATGAGATGGTTTTGCTCTGCTGAAGTAATTTACTTTAACCCTGCTCAAACAAGCAAATATTATAGAAACAAAAATGGTGGTTTCAAACTCAGCTTTCTTGGATTTGCATTAGGCAGGAAATTTCTTCATGAAGGCTTTGCTCCCCCTTGGGACTCACAGATTTTCCATCCTTCTCAAAGTTTCATCAGATAGGAAAGCTCAGTTTTTTGCAGCTCTGGTAATTACAAGCAGCTCAGCTAACACATCCGCCCATGTTTGGATAGTGATAGAGAGAGGCTAGATTTTGGCATATAGATAAAGGTTTCCTAGCATCATGTGTGCGTAGTCTTTTTGCAAGGACCTCCACTCGGTTTATTTTGCATAACTCTTTTTCACCCTATGAAAAAAAAAAAAATCCATTTCTCAGACATCAGCATCTTTTCTAAACAGAGCTCTCTTCCATGGGTGGCACATTCTCCTGGCATTTCTGGTAGGGTAAGACTTCTCTTGGCTTTGTCAGATGCTGAGGGATCACACGCTGGAGAAGGGGACCATTCCCATCAGGACACACTTTTCAGAATCTCTCTATTAATGTTTAATGATTGTTTTCTCCAGCAAAGGCTCCTGGCTGGACATTAAGAAGCCTCTGTGTCAAGCTGTCCAATCGTTAACTTCTGTTTCTGCCTAAATCTCTGAAATTTTTAACTGAAGGAGGGCAAAAGATTCAGAACATTCTCAGAAGCCACTGGAGGGTGTAAAATGAAACACTTCAATCATTAACGTCAGGGCAGAAAAACATCCCTTTGGCTTCCCTGGCCCAAATGCCCATTGCTGCAGAGGGAATGAATGACCAGAGGGTGACCCTACCAGCCGGGCGGACGTGGGTCCCCATGAGTGTGATTACAGAGGGAGGTGAGCATGGCCCAGAGGGCCAGCAACTGTCCGCAGCAGTGAATCGTACTTCTCCCCACTTCCCAGGCTGGAGCATGGTCCCTGGATCTGTACTTGGTAGGAGTTGCCTTGCCTGCAAACAGCCCACTGTGAACATGTCCCATGGCTGGCGTGAGGTCCTGGGACAGTCAGCATGGTCTTTCTCATGACATGTGCCATGAATATGGGATGTTTCAGGTGCTGTCTGGTTCTGCTGGATTTATAGCTGTTTATGCACAGTAGTAAAACAGTTTTTGACCTCTTTGACTGACTGGAGAGGGGCTCTCACTCCCCATCCTTGAGTGCAGTGCAGAAATGCTGGGCTTTCCCTCTTGCTTACATGAAATCTCAGCCTTGTCTCTGTCTCTGCATCACCCTGATAACTTTTCCCTGCCCTTACAGGTAGCACTGCTGCGAGCACATGCAGGAGAACATCTGTTACTGGGAGCTGCCAAGAGGTCCATGATGTTCAAGGATGTCTTGCTGCTAGGTAAAGAGTGCACTTCTGCTCCTGGCCCATCTGCTTCTGCAAAGCTTCCCTGCTGGTGTCAAGGAGAGGGTGGTGCAGTGTTTGTGGGCATCCCCTTTGCAGGCTTGAGCTCTTCTGTATTTAGTGAGCCTAGTACAACCTTTGGGTGCAGCTAGGCCTGGCTGACATTCACATCAAGGCCACGACATGTGGCAAAATTGGGGGACTATGAACATTCACATTGCCTCCCCCAGTTTGTGTAAGCAGGCTGTGGTGTGATGGAGAAAAAGGCCCTTGCTCCTCGGTCAGCTTTTCCTTGCTTGAGTGACTCTTGAGTAAGGAGAGGCTGCTCTGGCAACAAGGATCAGCATTTCTGGTGGGCTGAGCCAGGGAAGGGGCAGAAGGAGGAACTTCCTAAGTCCTCCTACCTCAAAATCATCTCAGCATTGCTTACCTGGGTTTTGAACTCTTGCCACCGTCGGGCAATGACAAGGTGATGGTCTATGTGCTGCTTGTCCAAAGGAAATGACCACATCATCCCGCGGAACTGCCCCGAACTGGTGGAGGTGAACCGTGTGGCCATCCGCATTCTGGACGAGCTGGTCCTCCCCTTCCAGGAGCTGCAGATAGATGATAATGAATATGCCTGCTTGAAAGCCATCATCTTCTTTGACCCAGGTATGCTACAACTTGGTGACGGTTACCATCAGAGGGGACTAGTCTGGGTTATGCCGACTACTACTGGTTCGGAGTTGAGGAAATGCTGCCTGGTCTCCTCTCTGGGCCAAACTATTCTTAGAGGGAGGGGAGAAGTCAGCCTAAATAAAGAAAAAACATCCATTACAGCAGACAGAGAATCAGAGACAGCTCACCTCAGCCTGCGCCCAGACTTCATGCTATTACCTAAGGGCAGTTCCTAGGGAAGCAGCCTGGATAGTTTGCTCTGTGGGTTGTTTCAGATGCCAAAGGACTGAGTGACCCCTCTAAGATCAAGAGAATGCGGTACCAGGTGCAGGTCAGCCTGGAGGACTACATCAATGATCGGCAATACGACTCACGGGGCCGCTTCGGGGAGCTGCTGCTGCTGCTGCCTGTGCTGCAGAGCATCACCTGGCAGATGATAGAACAGATCCAGTTTGTCAAGCTCTTCGGCATGGCTAAGATTGACAACCTGCTGCAGGAGATGCTGCTGGGAGGTGAGTACTTGAGGGTCCTACAAGAGGAACACCTCTCAGTGTTTCCTGATCACCATCCCCTGGAGAACCTCTACAGCCATAGTTCCCTACCCAAAAGAGGTGGAGACAGCCTGTATGCAGGTTAGCCATTGACTCACACAAAATCATCTCCCCCGTCCTTGGCAATGGTAACAAAGGCTCCTCCATTTCTATTCACCTAAAGAGATGCATTAGCTGTGCACCTATTTACAGAGAGCTGACCCCAGCCCTCTGCATGTAGACAAGCTTTGCTGTACAACTCCGAAACTCCTACCTGCCAGCTGTCTCACTAATCCTCCTCTGTCAGAAGAGAGTCATCAAAACAAAAGTGTTTGAAAGGTCAGCTCGAAAGAGTTGCCACTGTGCTATTCTTTACATGGAGGTGTGACTCAGGAGGAGAGGAATGTATTCTTGTATAAGAGGAAATGCAGGCAGCAGGCAGGGGTTAGTGAGCCCAAGGCATCCAAGGAGGAAAATGGGAAGGGTGTGCTCCAGCCATGTATGCACAGGCTGATCATGCACAAACCCTTGGACGTTCTGGTGCAGTGGGTCTGCCTGTCTGAACTGTCTCCTTCTGTCATTGTGGCAACTAATGTCATATGCACGTTTTTAGGCTCATCAAGTGAAACACCGCATGCTCACCACCCCCTGCACCCTCATCTGATCCAGGAGAACCTGGGAACAAACGTCATTGTGGCCAACACAATGCCTCCTCAGATGCACAATGGGCAGATGTGTGAGTATTGCCAGAGAGATGGAGAGCTCTCAGGAGAAACCAAGAGCTTTCTAGCATGCCTGTGGAGGTAGTTCCTACCTTGCAAGGAAATTTCCATGCAAGACAGAGTCTCTGATAATGGCTGTGTGAGAAATTCCTATGCAGAAAGGAGGGAAAGACAAACAGAGAGGTGGGTTAGATTAGATTAGGCTAGACTAACTGATTCAACAAGATGTTCCCTGGCAGACTGTAACTTTTACATAGCCCTTAAATTTAGGGACGAATGATCCCATCCAAGTGCCTACTGAAACCAGTGGACAGGCTCCCTGTCCCTTGAATGGTTCAGACACACCTCACCTTGCTTTCTGCAAAAACACAGGAGAATCTGGGCCACCACACAGGACTGCCACTTGGGAATTTGGGCTGAGATTACCTCAGCTGACAAAAAAAGTGGCCAGTACAGGTCAAAATGCCAGTAGCTCCCCTCATTCAATGTTAATTATTGTGGCTCTTCCAGGCCATCTAACCATGCCTGTGTGTCCAGGCTGCCACACAGGCTGCCTTGCAGCAAACGCACAAGCCATTAGGAGCGATGGTTTTGCTACAGAGCCTTTGCTTTGCTTACACCTGAATCTGGCATGACTGAGGACAGATCCCAGTGCTGCCAAGTCTCCTAATTCTGTTTCTCTCTCTGTAGCTACTCCAGAAACCCCACAGCCATCTCCACCTGCGGGCTCAGGCCCAGAACAATACAAGCTGCTGCCTGGAGCCATTGCAACCGTGGGAAAACAGCCCACCTCTATCCCGCAACCTGCCATCACAAAACAGGAGGTCATCTAGCAATCTGTAGACCAGCTGGCCTCGTTCAGAAGACCTTGTGGGACAAAAGCCCAAATTGACTCTGCCACTGTGAAAAGAGAAGCCATCCAGAGGTCCCTGGGTGCAAACACGTGGACTTGCTTATTGGACTAGTCCATCACCACCAAAAGCTGTCTTCCTGCAGCTATGGACAGCATGTGCCATGGGCAGCCCCCAGCCCCAGAACTAAGGATGAAGCCTTACTGAAACCCTCAGTCCTTGTAAGAAGGGCCAGACTTCTGCCTCCCTCTGTGGGGAGGTTGCAGTGACCGACTGGGGACAGTGCAGCTGGATGTCCCCCTATTGCCACCTCTTGGCGTTGGCTCAGCACAGACCAGATGCTGAGAACAAGTGACACTCTGTGCTGTGTGAACAGAGGGCTTCCCTCCCACAGCCATGCCAGCTTCCCAGGCAGCCCTCAGTCCAGCCAAACTTGATGGAGATGGAAGCTCCTCCAGGAGCATCATGGCAGGTGAAGCACATGGGTTTTGCCCAGGCAGCACTGGCAGAACCGCTCCTCAGCCTTGACTAGTCCCAGGTCTTTGCATGGTGTCACCCTCCAGCAACCTAACCCCCCAGCCATGTCTAACAAATCTGTTCAGCTGACACTGGGGCAGAGTCTGGCCTGCCAGGATTCTCCACTATTTGGATCCTTCTGCCTTTTGAGGGGTTTTGCTGTTTCCATGCTAGGACTGCTCTCCCACCACAGGGCTCAGAGAGGCAACCACTGCCAAATCCTTCCCTCTCACCACTGCTCCCTCCTCACTACCTGGACTGGTGCATTGGGGGACCATGGGATTCAGGAGATTTCAGCTAATAGGACAGGGTCACCCCTGCACAGGCTGGCTGTGGGCAGCACTGCCCAAAATATCACCAGCCCCACTACTGCTTCCCAGTGGTCAGAAGATGACCACTGAATGCCTGTTTGGAAAGAAGCAGGGGGGAAGGACATATGAAGGGGAGAGACCCATGAGGGAGAGAAGAGCCTGAGCCTCACAGGTTACACCAAGGTCTTGGGCTGCCCAGGTGCTGGGAGTGTCATGACCCAGAATCTCAGTTCAGACCCAGCTTTAACACTAAGATATGCCATATAATGTACTTGTCCAGTCCAATGCCACTCCCTCAGCTTAGAGTGAGTGGCTGATAACAGATTTAAACGTCTTCACAACATGATAAGAATTCATTATGGCTCCTTCAGACCTCAAAGGGTTTGAGGGCAGCAACCGCAAACCCACAGTTTGAGCCCTACAGAGAAGAACAACAGAGGTCTAGGAAAGACCCTGTCTCACCCAAGCCCCTTGGGTCTGCCCCAGCCTTGGGTCTGCACCCGCCTGCCCTGCTCCCTACCACAGTCCCTGTTTCTCTGTGACTGCCTGTGCTGAAACCACGCAGATCTGACCTTTGGTTTACAGCTAAAACCAGGAAAGGAGCCCTCCCACGCCCAGGGCTTCCCTCTCTGACTGCTGGCAGGGCTGGAGCTCACAGAGCCCTGCACAACTTCAGGCCTGAGTAATTTTTGGCAGTGCAAGGCAATAGCAGCTCTAACTAATCATAGACTAGGTGGGGTGCTGGCCTCTTGGGAAGATGAAGCTGATGGAACCATGGCTGCCAAGAGGTTCCTGGGGGGACAAATCTGGGCCAGCCCAGCCAGAGGAGCTGCAGGTCTGTCCCTTGATTTCCAATGCAAAAATGAAACACCTCGCCTTGCACTGGCGGTGTCAGAAGTATTATATCATCTCTCAACGCTGGTGGCATTGTACTGAGTAATTTATTGTAATGATGAATCCAATCATTTTCTGTAAATTATTTTGTAAATCACATTGATTATTTATAATTAGGAGATTAAATGCAAAAAAAACCCAAAATAACCAGGTTGTCTTTTCCAACTGCAGCAACTTTTTTTCCTGTACGTAGAGATACTCTGTGGGGAATCCTTTTTGGTCCATTTGCACCAAGCATTCCTCGATACTGTACATTAATTTTTGCTGGTTACTGCCTTCCAATGGAAACAGAGGAATATTTCTTCACTAGAGTTTGTATTCATAAAAAAAAAAGAAATAAATGCAAAAATATTTTCTAACTTTTCCCAGACAGATGGATTTCTTTCTTCTGGGAGGATTTATTTTAAATCAAGGGGCTCACCTCCTTGTTGGTCTGAGCACAAAGCATATCTGTATTGAGGAAAAAGACCAAACAAGTGTTTGATGCTGTCGCCAGCTGTCACTATTTCCTGGCAAGTCTCATGTTAGCTGGTGTCTGTCCTGGAGCCACGTGTGCTGGAATCATAAGATTGAATGACAATCCCAATTTTCATTAAAAGAAAAAAACCCATGAAGAATAAATATTTGCTTTCATGATTCCAGAGAGACTAAAGATTTGAAGTAACCACAGTCTGAAAGCCAAGCAAAGGAAGCCAAAATATGTTATTAGCATTTTGAACATGTTCATTTTTAAGTCTCTCTTGTATTTCAGAGGTAATTTCTGAGCCCTTTGGGGTGATGATTCTGCTTTGGCTCACACACAGTCAACCCACTGCGCAGGTGCAGCCAAAGGCAGATTGAGCCTATGGGGCACAGTAAGAAAATAAAGTGAAAGTCAATTTGCCACTGCTTGTAAAAGTGAAGAAATACACTGACAATTAGAGAAGGCTCTTAATGACCTGCTCCTCTGATCACGGGAGCCTGCTCTCAGCTGTAGCATGCCCAGGAAGATAACGGAAAGAGGGGAGAGAGGGCTATGTGGCTGTAAAGATTAGGTATCTGGGGAGGAACAACATCCAGCATTTTCAGCTCCGATCTGCAGCAGATGCTCCTCATGTTCTCCCATAGAATCATTTAGACTGGAAAGACCCTTAAGATCATCAAGTCCAACCGTTACCCTAACCCTGCCATCCCACCACTAAACCATGTCCCTAAGTACCTCGTCTACCCAGCTTTTAAATACCTCCAGGGATGGGGACTCAACCACTTCCCCAGGCAGCCCGTTCCAGAGCCTGACAACCCTTTCAGTCAAGAAGTTTTTCCTAATGTCTAGTCTAAACCTGCCCTGGCGCAACTTCAAACCATTCCCCCTCGTTCTATTGCCCGTTACCAGGGAGAAGAGGCTGACCCCCACCTCACTACAGCCTCCTGTCAGGTAGTTGTAGAGGGCAATAAGGTCCCCCCTCAGCCTCCTTTTCTCCAGACTAAACAACCCCAGTTCCCTCATCTGCTCCTCGTAAGACTTGTGCTCCAGACCCCTCCCCAGCTTTGTTGCTCTCCTCTGGACATGTTCCAGCAATGCAAAGTCTTTCTTGTAGTGAGGGCCCCAAAACTGAACACAGTATTTGAGGGACGGCCTCACCAATGCCGAATACAGGGGCATGATCACTTCCCTGCTCCTGCTGGCCACACTGTTTCTCGTATAAACCAGGATGCCATTGGCCTTCTTGGCCACCTGGGCACACTGCTGGCTCATATTCAGCCAGCTGTTGACCAACACCCCCAGGTCTTTTTCTGCCAGGCAGCTTTCCAGCCATGCTTCTCCAAGCCTGTAGTATTGCATGGGGTTGTTGTGACCAAAGTGCAGGACAAATCAAAGTGCATCTCCCACCCCTGATGTGAAATGGGGTGGGCAATCTCATCCCAGGTATGAGGGATGAAAACCAGCCTGATTTTCCAACCCACTCGCACATCCAGTGGCCTCCCAGTGACAGTCATGCTGGTGAAAACTGTCAGCAGGTATGAGATGCAGGGATGAGATTCAGAGCTGCGTTTGAGGACTGTGTGGAGACAGCATATAGAGCCTGCCTCCACTCTGGGGCCAAGGACCCAGGAGAATGGGACAGACCTCAGATAAGATGCCCTCAATACCTGTGTGCCTGTGATGATCCAGAGCCCCAACGCCATTGCTAATGCCTGAACAAGGTCAGCAAAGGCAACGGCAGGACATCCATTATCTCAGCACGTACAGAGCGACTGAGCAGCTAGTCTGGTCAAGAGAAGGAAGAGGAGTTCGTTCCTTCTGTTTAATATGGAACAAAACCCAGGACTCCTCTGCCTTCCACAGGAATCCTGTGACCCACGGTTGGTTTTACCTGGGTATAGGCCCTAAAAACTCCATATATGTAATATCAAATCTTTGAAGTAATAAATTCTCGTGGATTCCTTCCCATGAACTGCTCTATCAAGGTTGCCCTTTACCTGGTTAATCTTAAATCAGCGCAGCCCCTACAGGAGGTTTCTTATTGCTGGATTCAGCTCACTTGGAAAAAACCTCACAAACTGCCCCAGAGACAACCTTGTCCCTAAGTGGCATCCTCAATCCCAACCCTCAATTCTTCTGTCACTCCAGCCTGGAATCACCCTGAGACACTGGTCTTGCCACTCATGGGCTGTGTTTTATCCTGCTGGCTTTCCTGGAGCCCACAGGCAATGTCGCCTGTCACAGGAGATGGCTTCCATAAGGACAGCTAGTTTCGGCTTTAAGACACAACTTCCTCACATTGTTTTTGGACACAGGAGCTTTTTACTGTCCTCTTCTCTGCTTGCAGCCTAGACTAAGGATGATTTCTTAGAGAGCAGTATCTCCAGCTGCGAAATCTTTTCATGATGTCCAAGCAAAGATCTGTGAAAGTGGTATTTTTAGGTCCTCTGGCCACTATGAAATGCATTCTTTTCATGTTCCTTATATAACCTTCATCTGAAATAGCCAACAGGCTTTGGAGCATTTTCCACAGCTTTTCATATCTCAGCGGAGGAAAAAAAAAGAATGGCAAGTGAGTTTTATGGCCTGCATATCATCTCTGACAAAAGCAACTATTGCTGCTATTAAACTTGCAAGTGCACACAGAGGCACAGATAGTCATGAACAAGAAGAGGCAGCAGGGACGGCTCAGCAACGTGGCACTGCTGAGCCAGGCAATTCTGTGTGCCAGGCTGGCCAGTTCCCTTAAGGCTGATTGCAAATATCACCAATGAATTTGGGAATTCAGGCCATGCACT